AAACAAACAAACAAACAAACAAACAAACAAACAAACAAACAAGCACTCACACACACACACACACACACACACACACACAAAAACACACACAAAACACACAAAACAATATATCCATTTTTATGGAGGTGATACCATATTTGTAAGAAGTACGTGGCGTCTGTGTTTGTGTACGTACAGGTAGATGTACGCCGACTGCTTCTTCTTGACCACCAAAGCCAGGCCTCCGACTGCAGGACCAGGGCGGCGATCAGCACCAAGGCCAGCTGCACCTGCAAACTACAGCAGTAGAGAGACGCGTTACAAACATTCAGTTGGTAAGCAATGTCTGTTTTGCACTGTGACAACTTTTGGCTTAAGAAAGGTATGTTTGAAGTGTTGTGAAATTCTTTTATAACTGTAAACAGTTATATTTTATAGATATGTTTGAATTATCTTCACTCCGATTAGTCCAAACGTCTCTTCCATGTAAAATCGTGTCTAGGTAATAACAGGAGATTCTAAGAAGGCATTGGGAGATTCCAAAAGTCTGCACAGGGGTGTGACAGCACCCTCTTGTGCAGTCACACATACGTACCTACCCCTGTGACGACTTATATTAGGCTCGTCCGTTAGCCTGGGAATTGTGTATATGCTTGGTACAATCGGTTAGAAATTATGTTTAGTTTTGAATTTGTGTAGAAGGCATTTTGTTTTTATGTTTTAAACCAGCTGGAGGAATCGGCCGAAAAAACAACAACAATGGCCACTTTGTAAAGAACAGTGACGGGTGCTAGTCTCCACCAGACTTCTTTTGCGGGGTGAATAAATCGTAGAAATCGGCCTAAAAAGGGTATTAATTGGCCAGAGAAGGTAGCCGACCAGAGAAGCTCTAGCTCCCCGCCACAGCTGGAGCTTCTCTTTTAGGCCGATTTCTACGATTTATTCACCCCGCAAAAGAAGTCTGGTGGAGACTAGACGGGTGCTACTGCCCCAAGCGTTTTTCTGTGGTTGGAACTTGTCCATCCACTATCGTGTGTGCGGTACTGTGTTGAGGTTATTATCTGAATTCAAGGTGCGCCACATATCAGTAGCGATAGCACCTAACACGCAGACATCATGTCTCTCAGAGTACTAGCACAACTTGGAAAAGGACAAGGATAAAGGAAGAAATTAACTCATTGTCGACAGCTACTGCTTTTTGGTGTAAGTTTCTCTCTAAATATGACATGTAGTTTTACGTCAACAAAAATCAAGACATCACTAATGTGCATTGACCCTCAAAATAATCAAGGTTGCCTGCAAATAACGCCCTGGCAGGGCGGGACGTCCTACCGGTCGATGGTTATCCATAGTTCCCATGTTCACATGGATCTTTGTGTTTGTACATTTTTTACATGAAGTTCGTTCAATTCAGGTAGTACTGTACTTGGGAAGCCGTGTCTCTTTACGACTTTAAAGGTTTGTTGTGTCGATATTCACTCCGTACGTACAAAATATGCTGTGTCATGCGGCGTATCGGACTGGAAACAAATGTAGCTTCTATAAAGAAGCCTGCTAAGACCGATAAACTAGAGAAGTTCATCCTACATTCTGAGAGGAGACTACAGAACACAGTAAGACTGTGTTCTGTAGTCCCCGATTCGTCAGTGCACATTCGTGCAGAAATAATATGCTCTTTTGGACGACAAATCGTTTCCTTGTGTCTTACAGCGCATTATACAGCTGTATTGTAGCCAAATATTATTTCTTTCGCGTGAAACTATAAACCAGAATCTCCCATGGTAATTCAGTTGTCTAGTATTAATATTGAGAAAATGAGTAATTCGCTACCTTATCAAAGAATCGGTGAGTCAGGATCATTTCTGTATACTAGTACATTGTAGTTGATATAAACTTAAGTCGTACATTTCGAACAGTGTACGTGCAGTCTCTAACATATATTGCCGTTGAAATCCTTCAAATCCCCACCCAAACGACAAAGACAAATAAAAAACACACATACACAATTTACAATTCATGAAACGTAAGGTTTTTCACTTACCGTATCATGACGAAGTCTTCGGACGAGTGTTTGAAGTCGCAGGCGGTCAGATCTGTCCCGTGCCTGGCAGTACTGTCTCCGTCCTTTGATCATGGCGTTACGTCACATGCAAATGTACCCCATTCTTGTAAAACAGGTTTATAACGATGGGTGCCCTCTTCCTTGCGTGAGGCGAATGTTAAACAACTCTTGAGGTTCATTGAGGGTCATCATTGTTGTTGTAACCAATGTGTTTGGTGGAGACTAATGCACAGAGTGCATTAAGTCTGTTTAATTCGAATAAACATTAGTGTACATTCCACAATATTCTTCCTGTAGTGTATCACCAACTATCACGCAAGTATTTGGACCATCGCAAACCTGGGCATACTGAAATGTTTTATTAGTTCCCTATAGCCTACAATTAGAACAGAAATATACTAAGTACACATTTAACAAAAGGGGAGTTGTTCAAGCATATCAAGATCATGTCATCTAGAAAATACGATATTATTGAAAAACTAATTTGTCTGTATATTTCTTTCAGAGTACATCTGCGCGCCTTTGGTATATATATAAGAAGTGAGAAGAGACATTGTAGATATAGAGATAAAATAGTAAATGCAGGACCTCTTTCTCTTACCCTTATACCTCAGTTATCTAACCCAGTGCAGTTGGCCCTTGTGTGGCGTTAAACATGCAATAAAGTTCATTTTCGCTGGTTAGCTGACGGGTCTATTGTTCAGTTAGATGGCTGCTTGGTTGGTTGATTTTCTGGGTGGTTGGCTATTTGGATGGTTGGCTATCTGGCTGATCTGTTGTCTGGTCTGTTGTCTGGTTAGTTGGATGGTTGACTGGTTTGTTATTCGGTTGGTTGGTTGGCTGCCTGATCTGTTGACTGGTTCGTAGACTAGTTGGTTGGATGACATTCCCGCCACCAGAGCTGTTCACGAAGAGCCTGACCACGCCACGCCGTACCTCCCGCAGGCGAAATGCGTAGATCATAGGGTTAATAGCGGAGTTCAGGATGACGAAAACTTGGGTATGATGCAGTAGAGCTACGTCTTGCGTAAACATGGCCATTCTGACGAAAATCGGCATCCATCCCACCAGGAAGACGGCGGTGATGAGGACGACAGTGAAGGCAGATCTCCGGCTGGTGCTGGACTGGGCGCCCACGGTGGCTTCCTGCGCGGCGATGGCGTTAACATGCCTCCACAGACACCGCAGGATCTCCACGTTGAAGAGTACAATCGCGGCCATCGGGATGAAAACAAAGATGAGAATCACAACCACGTAGTCGTACGACAAACCCCCGCCTAACGGAAGACACGGTTCGTCTACGCCTACGACAACACACGACTCGCACTGAAACCCGAAGTTGGGCAGCATCGCCAGCAACAGGGACCAAACCCACACGACTACAGCAACGACCTTACACTTGAAGTTGTCCACATTGTTGACGTAGGTCATCCCGTGGACGATAAACCAGTAACGTTCCACCGTGAGAGCCATCAGACTGTAGGCAGAAGACATCGCGGAAAGCAGGAGCGTTGAGAGGAAGAGTCGTGAGATTGTAAAAGAAACAACGATCCCCGTGAGGTAGTAGTATAGCACCGAGCTTCCCACCAAGACGAAGGCTATGCCGGTGGTTACATCGCTCGCAGCCAGGTTTGCCATGAGGATGTAGACTGGCGCGTTGAGCTGTTCGTGTTTGATGATGGCCACTAGCGGGAGGCCGTTCGCAACAACAGCCCAGACGCCCAGACATACAGTCGCGCTGATCGCAGCTACAGAGACAGAAACGTACTCTTCAAAAGGGAACTCGGCAACTGTAGACTCGTTTTGCGGGCATCTGGGAACGTTTAATCCGGTGATGTTTTCTCCTGTCTCAGAACTGTTTGTAGCTGTGAATATGCCCAAGTCTTGCAAGTCAATCCCGGTTGAGTTGGGAGACAATCTTGTGTTGTTACTCTCCTGATTTGTGACATTTAACGTCATGTCCGGTGCAGAAGCCAAGATTATTCCAATATAATGAATTTTGATGAGCATGACAATCACTAGAATTTCTCCAGTGTAGCTTCCCATGAAGTTCGTCATTTCGTTGATGTTGTGAGGGATCTCTGTCTGGAAGCCAAGACGGTGTCACGGATTTTAGCAGAGCGGTGTCGACTTGAGTTGAGGAAAATCCCTGTGTCACTATATAGCTATCGCTCATACACAGTTATTGACTGCAAAGATTTTATGGCAATAAGACAATTGACTTGCTTACATGTTTCTGCTTGTCAACAAGGCTGCCAGCAACTACCAGCACACATAAGAAGAGGAACGGAGGAAAGTCTTTCGATGTAGTTTTCCAACAACGCGCTTGTGTCTTGTAATACTCCAAATGGTGGTTCTACTGGTTAATTTACATAAATGCAGACTGCCAGATTTTGTACGTCTTGGAGTTGTTCCCGGGGGGAAATTAATGTAAGACCAGATCTCACGGTGTCAGATTATCGTAATCACCGCTATAAACGGCAAAGCAGTTTCAAATTGATGAGACCAATGAAATAACGTCCTTGGTCAGACGCAATTCTTTAGTGGCAGTACTCAGGTCTCCTTATCCGATACCGCCATGAATGGAAGCGCCATCTAGCGTTTTTATGCGTACTGCACCCTATTGGATTATCATATTGTCAGTATGCGGGTCTGGAATGGCAAATGTACATGGTTGACAATGTGGGCGAAATCAACTGGATGCCTGGTAACTTATACATGTAGATGTACGGTCGTGGTAATGTGATGTCTAATCTGTGAAGGGGAAATTAATGTTGGAAATGTGTGTCGTTTAACACACTGGCACAAACTCCCGCAAAGTCTCTACCTATCTGTAAGTGATACGAGTTTCTTATTCAAGAGCTGGACTACTTTTTTTATAACCAAACTATGTGAGAAATTGTAAGCATCAAGATATGATATAGATTAGCACCTATGTTACCTGTATCTTTCAAAGTTTATTGTTTATTGAGAAATCAAAAGCCTTCTCAGCCTCACAGCTGAATTATATATAAAGTTTGTACCTAAAAGTCGCGAGCATGGTATATTTACAAATAACTTACTACATCCAGAAATGCCTTAAATTAAGATAGCAACCAAATTTTAAGATCATGATAACGGAATGCGCAATAGACACAATGTCTATTTCAAAAGTAGATGGGACCATACATGCATCCAGAAATCTTACGAGGAGAACTTTCTAAATGTATGTGCTTGTGTGAAAGACGAAAGGTATTAGCACCAAACACGTTAACTGTTGTAAAGAGTACGCTAAATGGTTGGTGAGGCACATTGTGTTGTATAATGAGGTTACCCATCCAAGCGTTGTTTTATACATCGACTGCAACTCGAGCGCGTCGACCCAGTAACACAATACAATCCTCCGCAATCGATCGCCTAGTCAAAACAAAACTTGACACGACAAAACTACAGAGAGAACCCGGAGTGAAGAATAGACTGGCCTGACCTGTTTTATACGTGAGAACACGAGGCGGAACGAAGAGGATAGTAACGGGGCTGGTACTGTAAACATACGGACGCGCCAGTGGAGTGCAGCCCCGATTCTAGAACACCGTTCGAACAGAACGTTTGTCTGCAGTAAATACAGAACGTATAGAACGTCCTCCGGGCTGTTCTAGAACGGTGTTTTATTGTACGATTGTCTCCTGGCCTAGCGACGGAGGGTACAGTGGCCCTAGCCGGGAGCGTTCCCGACAATATGCCGCTCCCAAAGGTCTACGTGGATTACCTGAGAGAGTGAGTACAAACAACATTTTGTTTTCCTTCTAAACCGTTAGCGTTAACCTAAACTGTAGCTTTTAAAACAGACTGTATATATTGGAGAGAAAACCAGGCCATGCGTGCTAGCTTTAGATCTCAAAGAGTACCACCGCAAGTGTTTTCCTGTGTTTTAGTCTATGTAAACATATGTATGAATGCTTTGAAACTTCTGAATAGTTCTTAAACACAGCTGCTTAGGCACATAAGTTGTGGGTTGAATATTGGGTCAGTGCTAGCAACTACAAGCCCCAAAAATGTATGCAATTCCTACCAATACATATTTCTACCAATTTTACATTATGCCGTACACTATCTTTTTGACTCTACATACAACCTTTATTCTCTTAGGTTATTATATATACTATAAACAAACAAACAAAGAAGAGTGCATAACTCGTCTTCCTTTACAAGGTAACAGATGTAGTCGATGAGATGAATTTAGATTATCAACAGAGAGACATGTGTTAAGAGACAAACGTGCAAGTTGCATCTTGTCATACTTTTATTTCGAAAGCATTGTGGAGAACACTGGGGTGCATTAAATCAAAACTTGCTGTCTGAAAGAATACTTTAGAGTACAGGGCTTGAATTACCTTTTCTATGTACGACCTGCACTGGTGCACTGTTAACATTGGAAATTATACCAGCAACCCACACAATTTTTACCTGCGCCACTAAGAACCGTTCAGAAACTATTGCCATTACTAGCTTGCTTTATATGTCATGGGTGGTAACAATTGCAAGCAATGCAGAAATAAATTCTACACCTATGTACATATATGTAAACCCAGTATCATGGACCAGCGCAGGTTAGATGCTGGTAGACACCAGAAACACCTGCACAGCTCCAATTTTACATGCACTGACTTGCATATACCGAGTACATGGACCAGTGCAGGTATATGCGAATACAGGTTACATTAATATTCTTAGTCTTCAAGTAAATTTGGTGGTGTTGTGGAAGAACAAGTTGGGTTAACATTGTTAACTTAAAACTGTTGACTTGTAAACTAGTACTATTTTATAACGTGCAGAATATATATACGCAGTGGTTAACCAGGCTATCTATCTATCCAGGCCGGAGAAGACCAAGCGGCCACAGAAGGAGGGTAGTACACACCTGCCTAAGATCCCTGTCGTCAAACTGCGCAAGCCTCCCATCAGTACCAGGAAAGGCATCATAGACTGGGCTGATGTGGCCACTCTCAGGTGGGTACAACACTTAGACCGCCACGTCCTGTATAGCCTGCTTCCAGACTATTCAAATGTATAGGGCTGTTGTACCCAGAACCATGCTTATCATTTATAACATATCTGTTCTTTTATCTCTATCTATCTATAACTGAAAAGCGAGGAGAAGTCGAATTCATCTAAAGATAGTTAGTTTTATATTGTATCTGATAACAGTATCTATTTTATCATGTTTTGTTGTGATGTGTACTTAGCCTAGTGTGGTAGAAATGCACAATATAGCCAATGGACGTCACTCATCTGGCAAATGGATACTACCTTGCCACCGTATGATCTGCCTGGAGATTACAATTAAGGTCGTCCTTAATTCGTTTAACTACAAAAACTATGATCAGGCACGGTCCTGGATAGTCCACGCGTATCTAGAACTTTGCCCGGGGGCAAATCTATGTTCTTCGATACACAGAGACTATCCGGAACCGTGCCTGATCCCAACCCTACACCATTTCTGGATACAATAAGGCTGTTTCTGTAGTACAATAGAGTCATATCTACCTTTTCTACCGTAACAGAAAAGAGCTGAAAGACAAGGTTTACCATGACGACCAACAGAAGCGCTACCGCTCCGACTACATCCGGACCTCCCAGGACTTCTACCGGATGAAGATGGACAAGCTCCGACAGGGAGACCCGAAAACTCTAGACAACATGAAGGTCGGTAAAATATGTGTTCAAATTCTGGACATTTTTTAATGTAGCTGCCGATCAGGAAAGTTTTTTGAAAGTGAAAGAAATTATCGTAGGCTTGTGCCGTACGTCTACTGTGAAGCTAATGCAAGATACTAGAAGGTCACTGAAGAAAAAACGTCATACGACACCTGTCCTACAACAGCAACGTATCGACGTTGTATGGCAGTGGTTGTGCGACAGTTATCGTACGTCAGTTTTATATACTCTTTATTGAGACAAATGCTAGGTGCAAAGACTCTGATCTGGCAGTCCCTCGACCAGCAAGACCTATATATGTCCAAACATTATATGGTTACTATAAATAATGGCAGACGTAACGACGTGTAAACAAAATAGAAAAGAAAGGTTGACAGAGCTGATCCAAAACAGGCTAAACTGAGACATCACAATGAACCAACTGTTCAAAGGCGTCCAACCTTTGCGGTTCACGTACAGAACGTTTGTTTTTGTTGCTATCCGTGTATGGCAGCATTGTTAGTTTTGAGAAGGCTGCCCAAACATCCTCCAGAAAGCTAGCCCTTTGTATGGTAGCTTCACAGGGTCAAACAGGGTTAAACAAATCTTTTGACAGTAATAACATATCGCTGAATGCAAACTACATACTGCTTATCTTGCAGTAGGGTTGAAGGATAAACTAAAATTAAGGAAGCTGATGACTTAGTAGGATTTTGGTGTTTAAACAGTCAGGGCAATTTATATGTAAAATAGGGTATTGTGTCTTTTTAAATGTTATATTTGTAACGGTCACAATATGACTTTTTATTTCCAGGTATGTTGCAACGTGTACCTGGGGACGAGTATGGGGTCCAGAAGGGCTATCAGAGACCTGGTCAGTGTGCTCCGGCCAGACACTCGTGATCAGAGACCGGTCACACAGCAACCCCCATCACAGCCTCCTACCAACGAGACAGAAGCGGAGAAACAATCTGACCCGGAACCGGAAAAACAACCTGACCCAGAACCGGAAAAGACAGATGATGAGACGGCAGAAGAAGAATAATGATGGGAATCTTGAACTCAAATTTTGTATGATAAAGTTGTTGCCTTCGAACTTCAAGAGACTGGCTTGCATGTAGTTGTAGAAAATCAAGGTCATTTTGAGACTATGGAATGGAACTATATGTACATATGCTCCCGAAGTGCCAATGTTCTTTCAGTAGTCAGATGTCCTTGATTCATACAACCACCTGTATAATGTCCTTGATCCAACAGTCTATACCAGAAGATCGTCTTGCCTTTAAGCTGGAGTTAGCGACAAAGCCGCTAGGCGTCATTCATTAATTGTACGTGTGTGTTCAAAGTGTGTTTGCTTTGTTCTCAGTAACCTATGAGCCAACAGTTTATGCCATGTTTTAATACAGAATCATCTTTTGAAAATGCCGGTGTCACGAGCTGTAAATAAAACTGTGGTGCATCTTTTGCCCCCTGGCGGCAAAGCTACAATCTGCAGCCTAAGACACGTACGCGTATTAGGTAAACTTGCGAGGGTTACAAATAAGCTTAATGCACGTCGTTTGTGTGCATCCTGGTGGCTATTCTTTATACCACAGAGGAACTTCCAGTCTAATCTGTTTTGTGGTCATTTCTGGTGGCAGATAGTCTTTTTGGGGCCAAGAGGAAGTTGTATAGATTTGGGCACCCTGGGAACTTGTTTAGGAACTGCAGTGGCGTTATTGTCGGAAAGGTAATACAAAAGCGCCCTCTGTTGGAAATGACATGTATGGTATGTGGATAGTTCAGATGGCTGGGTGCTTCTGTAAAGGTCAAGTTGATCAGGAAGTAGACTCAAGGGTAATTCTGCACAAAGGTGTTGTGTTCTTTCGCTTCGCTCACTCGGAGGTTTATTCGATTGTTACGGAAGCGACAATGCGTTATGGCACCATATGCCCCTTAAGGGTAATCAACCCTATATTGTCTGATTAAGATATGCACTTAATTCAACAACACTTCAATAATAACAGACAAATATGCGACTCCGACTTTACACAGATAGGCTACTCATCTTCTCATGTACATTTCTGCATAAAGACTTGAATAATACCTTTTTGATAAAAGACTCGTTTAGAACAGTAGTAAATATCATTGACAGATGACATGCGTATTCTTCAATATAGTCGCCCCGTGTACAATTATAGGTGTAAGATAAAACGATTATTGTCGAAACTCTCGAATATATAATGTATTAAAATCTATCGACATTACATTTCGATTTATATTAACTGTAATTTAAAATCCACATGACGAATCATTTAGAATTTACACAGAAAATTCCTAAAAAAAGACGTCAAATATGGTAGAGTGACTCTGACTGACAATAACTTATTAATGTCAACATAGAATAAAAACACTAATATTATACATATTTACATACATCACGAGAAACTGAACAAGAAAAGCTGTACATTTTTCAACAACTTCAAAAGGGGTGCCGACAATCTCAAAGTTGGGACTCTTTTTCCTTTTTTTCACAAAAGATACAACATTTGTACATTTTTACGTATTTCAACATTGATAGCACTGAAATTAGTCACACTAAAGTTCCGTTACTTCTATTATTGTGTCCCGACCGTTCATAACTGGATTATCTATCCCTGTCTTCTGGTCCGATTTTACCCACTTAATCCACGTGCGCATTTCTGGGGTAAAGTACGGATTCTCTTTCCCCAGTTTCGGTTGAAGACTTGGCAAAGACGTCGTGCGTTTGACAACATCGCTCGCAGGTTGCGGTCTATTCCCCATTTTAGACGGGCTGAGCGAATGAGTTGACAGGCTATTCGAGGGGCGGCCGTTTGTATTCGTCTGTCTTTGCTGGTCTGCAATTTTAGTCTCGCTCTGCGCAGGACTGCAGTCGGGTAGAACGGTCAAAAGAGTCGGTAGGATGACCAGTCCGTGAGCGGCGCCAAACGCCATGACCAGGAAAATGGTCTTAAAGAAGGCTTTGAAAAGATAGGCTGGGAAAAAGGCGAGGACGATCATTCCAAGGATAGTGGAGAGGGCAGACTGAAGTATTGGCATACCGACGGCACGGAAAGCTTCAGCTAGTTTTTCTACAGGAGCAATAGCCTGTGAACTGACGTAAGCATAAGTGATGTGAGCAGAGAAGTCTACAGAAAAACCGATGCAGATGATGATTGACGTCATGGAAACGATGTCAAGTTGGACACCCCACAGAGCCATGTATCCCACAAGCCCCACGTCTATGGACACGAGGGCAAAAGTGACGAAGACAGTAGCGACACAGTGCGGAATGAACAAGAACGACACCACGAACATGGCGGCTGCGGCGATGCCCACAGTCTGGAGCGTGCTGGGGAGAATCGAGACCACTTGTTCTGCAAAGATGAATTCGTTTGCGAAAGCGACCATTTTGACCGGCCCTTTCTCTACGATGCTACGCGCTTCTATCATCATATCTTTCTCCCGTTCTTTTGTTTTCACGTCATTCGGGATGACAAAGAACCGAGAAGCCGTGATGTTGGCATAGAAGTCTGCGAACTTTATAGACTCGGAATACTGACGGCCAAACTGAGGCAAGAACTGGTCGACTAGAATTTGCAAAAAGGCCGTTTTGTTCGTGGCCGCAGCAGCGTTCCCCGTTTCGTTCAGAAAACGGAGATAGTCTCGCAACCAGACCTCTGCGGTCTCTGATGTGTCATAGAAATACTGGCTCTGATCGAAAGCTTTTAGTTTATCCAAAACGGCCTGTTGCACGTCTATTTTCCAATACTCCAGCGGTTCGGTCATAACTATGTCTATTTTAGGACCATAGTCTTTGAAATAAGCCTCTTCTGGGTTGTGGAAAGCTACAACGTAAGAGCTTTCAGCAGCGAGATTTTGAAATTTAAGGCCAATATCTACTTGAAAGCAACCCCAAATTGCTACTCCTAGATAGCCTGCGTATAGTATAAAGAGGATAGCTTTTGATGGTGTTTTGACTAACATAGGCGCTAGGTACTTATACAACAACGTTGTCAGCAAAGGGTCCTTGTTGACTACTGGACTGTTGCTGCTTGGGTTGTCCTGTTTTGCCACGCCTGCTGCACAGCAGAGTCGGTAGGCGGCGCTTTTGTGCTGTGCCTGTGATTTGGGCAGGACGGGGCAGCAGGTCAGGCAGTGACGGTTGGCTCGCTCCCGCCGGCCGGCCAGCGACATCACGGCAGCGAAGAAGGTGATCTACGGAAGACGAAAACGATACAATGATAAAGATGAGTTAGTCGCACCTCCATGGCAGTGACATGTCCTAATCAATGGTAGTGACATTTCCGAATCAATGCCCCCCAAATTAAGGCTCATTTTGGCGACGCCTCATAGGCGAGCCTAATGGTACAATATTGTGTGCAGTTTGCAAGAATTCTAGGAATTGTACAGGGATGTTTTCAACAGACATAGAATGTCCACAGGCATGTCTGGAATTTTGCTGACACATCTATGCCCACAGTCCCACACAGTCCAAATTCCTGTCAACCCATGGGAAAACCTTGCTGGTACAAGTATTCTATCTGCCCACCTGGTACAGGTAATCAAAGGCGACGCCCACGGCAGCGTAGATACAGAAGATGCGTACGGAGGGAAAGACGCTGATGATGCCGACGGCGAACGCCACGCAGTCGGTGATGGACGTGATGGTGATGGAGGCTGCGGCGTCTGACATGGCATGGCCCATGCGCTCCTGCACCGGAAGTCTTACGTCACACTTCCGCCAGGCCGCGATCATGACGAACATGTCGTCCACTCCCACTCCTATGGAGAAGGCAACAAGAAATACCTTTTAAACTAGAAAGGGCAAATGCATAATGCAAACATTAATATATATGGTCAGACAGGAGTCTAAATCCCTCCTGCTATCAAATTGCAACACAGATGTAACGCAACACTAGTTACCATGGTAACAGACAGTCTGGTTCAGGTCATTGACCTTTTGTTTTGAGAAGAAGAGGTAAGGCGCGCTCACCTATCAGAAGAAAGGGCACTACAGCGACCAGCGTTGAGAAGGTTTCCCCTGTCAGAAGGACCAGCCCTACGGAGGAGACGATCGCGAGGACCGCGGACAGCACGCCTGTCAGGGCCAGCCACGGTTTAGTCAGGACCCAGTCCGACATCATACACGACACCACAGAGAACAGGACCAACAACGCTATCGCGGCCGCCAGGTACGGAATCACCATAGTTGGCAGGGCGAGAAGTTCGTCGTTCAGAGATCTAAACGTGTTATAGTTCACGGTTATTTTATCTGACTCGAACTCTGAACATACTTTTAGAAACGTGTCTGTCCAAGCGTCCCATTTTGTACTTAGGTAGTAGACAAATTGTACGGCTTTACTGGATAGAACTGTTCTACCGTCCGGTACTAGCTCTACTCCTCCTAGCTCGCTCCCAAGGTACAGGCCTAGACTGTAGTTTAGTCCGTTAGGGTTGTAGTAAGGGTACGTCAGGCCGATGTTTTTGAGGTTTGTACCGGAGCCTGTGTCTAACATCAACTGCAGAACGTTACTAACAAAACACCGCGAACTGTTGCCGGTACCGCTCCGGATGCAGAGATCATCAAACGTATCTCCAAAAGATGTGTTTGAAGTTCGTAAGACGTTGTGGAATCTCAAGACTTCTGCGAAGACGTCGTCACGGAAGAGGACGTCTCCACCGTCGGCGGCTTGGATGATGACCCGGGCCGTCGATCCCCAGGCGACGTTGTCGGTGGGATCGAACTCGACTTGCCGTAAGGCCTCGCGGTCTCGTATGGCTTGGTTGTTCTCAGGAGTGAAGAGATATTCTAAATCGTCGCTGATGACCAGCTTGGTGAGACCGAAGTAGCCGAGAAGGCCCGTAGCGACGAGCGGGAGGAGGATAAAGGGAGCCGGGAACAGGGCGACTCCCCTGCCGACGTGGTAGAACATGCGCCGCAACTTGCCGTCGATCCACCTCGCTATCATCATGTCACGTTTCGCTGCGGTTTCAACGGTAAGTTGCTAGACAACCAATCAGATCGTCGACGGCATTCACTCCAAAACCGAAGTATGTCTAATCCTGAAAAAGACAAAAAAATTAGAACTAAACAAAAATATTGACAAGAATAGAATATCGAAAAAAAAACAGTACATTCAATCATGTACAAAGTCACGCTAAGATATACTACAATGTAGTAAATAATGTACCATGGACAGCTGGTGTGTTATGCCGAAGGGCGATTGTCGGCTCTATAGAAATTATACCATTCTCCCACGGCAGTTAGCACTAGGATTTAGCTCTGATACAAAATATATATCATAAAGCCAAAGATCACGAAATTTTTGCAGTCACGAATTCAGGTTGTCTTGTACTTTAACGGGGACGTTCTGGCGTCATTGCTCTTGACGTGACCGTTAAACGAAAAAAAATGGCTGAATCACCAAGAAAGTCAAGTTTTTGCAAACGCCGTTAATGCAGTGCCATTATGGCCGGCCATTATAACTACCTATAGTGCCAAGGAGGTTGTGCACACTGGAATTTATGATATCATTAGTGGATAATGGATGTCATTGGCCCCTTTCAAATCTGAGCGGCCCAATCAAGTACATGGGACCAGGGTAGTGACGGATAATTAAAAAAAAGGTATCAAAACATCAATTTTAAAACACATTTGCTATTGAAGTATTGTTTTGAAAATGTGCTTTACTATTCCGTACATACGTATGACATGATCTATTGGCAATAAATTGTACTAGACGGGAGACCAGCAAAGCCCTTCAAAATTGCCCTTCCTTTGTGTTTGAGCCATTTCATTATCATTCGTCTTGTTAAGAACGCAATGCATCTTTAATACAGCTGTATCTCACAGAGATGGTATTAGCGAAGAATAATTTATTAATACAGGTAGTAAAGTAGTAGAAGATTTCAGTACCTTGTTCATGTTCATGTTATTGCAAAATTCTGACTATAGATGTAAATGATTTGATGTTTAAAACGGAAAGTATCTAGCATTTTTGTGAATTTATTGGTACAACCGAAGGGATGTATGGGCCTAGTACATGGGAGTGCACGTACCTATATCTTGTTAATTGTGCCGAGCCCTAATTCTGTAGCCCCAGTGGCTTGCAGTAAAAGTGTGGTTGACCCTTCCCTTCCTGTCTTTCCAGACGTAGGTGTTGGCTTGTTTGGGGTGTGGTGTGGTGTGGTGTGGTGTAGTGTAGTGTGGTGTGGTGTGGTGTGTGCGTGCGTGCGTGCGTGCGTGCGTGTGTGTGTGTGTGTAGTTTCACAAGATAAAAGATTAAAAGCTTGAGTGTTGAAGTCCTATATTATTGCATCTGTGCCAATGTTATACACCTTACTTTTCGAATTCGGTTGTCCGTTTTTCAGAGGAGGATCGATACAAAACGCATTCAGTAAATTGGCTCCCACCATTTCGAAGTCGGAACAAATTGAATTTAAGTCACACGGTATATAGACTTGTGAACGCTCTTCCCACGAATTGAAGATCATGATTGGTGACAGTTACATAGATTAGTTCATAGCACTATATATAGTGTGTGTGTAAGGGGTTCGTTGTTGATCGTCGTGGGATTTCCGCCTCCGAGTACACGGCGTAGAGTAAAGCAGGAGACAAGAAAAGAAGAGGACACAGAGCACACAAAAAAGACGTCCGTACACAAAGACTTCAACTCAAAAACCTCTCGTTTATTCTAAGAACGTGATCGAACGTCGTCGATCTTAACGTATACGTACGGATCCTAACGTAGCCGTTCGGACGTCGAACGGACGCTAACGTCGCCGTTCGAACGTCCGAAACGGCTTACCTAATGCAACATCTAAACACCTTATGTCATTCCCTACACTTTCCCCCCTAGTAATTTTTCGCCGTCCTCGGCGAACGATCACTATAAAATGTCATTCCCTACACTTTCCCCCCTAGTAATTTTT